AATTGACAGAGATATGGCGATCAGAAGGAGCAAAAGTGCGAAAATTAGGAAAACCCACAATTTTGCAGGGGATCCCCTTGGAAAAAAATCGAAAAATTAGAAAACGACATTTCAGCAATGTTTTGAATGAGGAAAGTCGCTTTCGGGTTCGCTGATTACTAAATGGTGCTTTATTTCTTGATCGGATGCAAATTGGCAGAGATATGGCGATCAGAAGGAGCAAAAGTGCGAAAATTGGGAAAACCCACAATTTTGCAGGGGATCCCCTTGGAAAAAATCGAAAAATTAGAAAACGACATTTCAGCAATGTTTTGAATGAGGAAAGTCGCTTTTGGGTTCGCTGATTACTAAATGGTACTTTATTTCCTGATCAGATGCAAATTGGCAGAGATATGGCGATCAGAAGGAGCAAAAGTGCGAAAATTGGGAAAACCCACAATTTTGCAGGGGATCCCCTTGGAAAAAATCGAAATTTTAGAAAACGACATTTCAGCAATGTTTTGAATGAGGAAAGTCGCTTTTGGGTTCGCTGATTACTAAATGGTACTTTATTTCCTGATCAGATGCAAATTGGCAGAGATATGGCGATCAGAAGGAGCAAAAGTGCGAAAATTGGGAAAACCCACAATTTTGCAGGGGATCCCCTTGGAAAAAAATCGAAATTTTAGAAAACGACATTTCAGCAATGTTTTGAATGAGGAAAGTCGCTTTTGGGTTCGCTGATTACTAAATGGTACTTTATTTCCTGATCAGATGCAAATTGGCAGAGATATGGCGATCAGAAGGAGCAAAAGTGCGAAAATTGGGAAAACCCACAATTTTGCAGGGGATCCCCTTGGAAAAAAATCGAAAAATTAGAAAACGACATTTCAGCAATGTTTTGAATGAGGAAAGTCGCTTTCGGGTTCGCTGATTACTAAATGGTGCTTTATTTCTTGATCGGATACAAATTGGCAGAGATATGGCGATCAGAAGGAGCAAAAGTGCGAAAATTGGGAAAACCCACAATTTTGCAGGGGATCCCCTTGGAAAAAAATCGAAATTTTAGAAAACGACATTTCAGCAATGTTTTGAATGAGGAAAGTCGCTTTTGGGTTCGCTGATTACTAAATGGTACTTTATTTCCTGATCAGATGCAAATTGGCAGAGATATGGCGATCAGAAGGAGCAAAAGTGCGAAAATTGGGAAAACCCACAATTTTGCAGGGGATCCCCTTGGAAAAAAATCGAAATTTTAGAAAACGACATTTCAGCAATGTTTTGAATGAGGAAAGTCGCTTTCGGGTTCGCTGATTACTAAATGGTACTTTATTTCTTGATCGGATACAAATTGGCAGAGATATGGCGATCAGAAGGAGCAAAAGTGCGAAAATTGGGAAAACCCACAATTTTGCAGGGGATCCCCTTGGAAAAAAATCGAAAAATTAGAAAACGACATTTCAGCAATGTTTTGAATGAGGAAAGTCGCTTTCGGGTTCGCTGATTACTAAATGGTGCTTTATTTCTTGATCGGATACAAATTGGCAGAGATATGGCGATCAGAAGGAGCAAAAGTGCGAAAATTGGGAAAACCCACAATTTTGCAGGGGATCCCTTGGAAAAAATCGAAAAATTAGAAAACGACATTTCAGCAATGTTTTGAATGAGGAAAGTCGCTTTCGGGTTCGCTGATTACTAAATGGTACTTTATTTCTTGATCGGATACAAATTGACAGAGATATGGCGATCAGAAGGAGCAAAAGTGCGAAAATTAGGAAAACCCACAATTTTGCAGGGGATCCCCTTGGAAAAAAATCGAAAAATTAGAAAACGACATTTCAGCAATGTTTTGAATGAGGAAAGTCGCTTTCGGGTTCGCTGATTACTAAATGGTGCTTTATTTCTTGATCGGATGCAAATTGGCAGAGATATGGCGATCAGAAGGAGCAAAAGTGCGAAAATTGGGAAAACCCACAATTTTGCAGGGGATCCCCTTGGAAAAAAATCGAAAAATTAGAAAACGACATTTCAGCAATGTTTTGAATGAGGAAAGTCGCTTTTGGGTTCGCTGATTACTAAATGGTACTTTATTTCCTGATCAGATGCAAATTGGCAGAGATATGGCGATCAGAAGGAGCAAAAGTGCGAAAATTGGGAAAACCCACAATTTTGCAGGGGATCCCCTTGGAAAAAAATCGAAATTTTAGAAAACGACATTTCAGCAATGTTTTGAATGAGGAAAGTCGCTTTTGGGTTCGCTGATTACTAAATGGTACTTTATTTCCTGATCAGATGCAAATTGGCAGAGATATGGCGATCAGAAGGAGCAAAAGTGCGAAAATTGGGAAAACCCACAATTTTGCAGGGGATCCCCTTGGAAAAAAATCGAAAAATTAGAAAACGACTTTTCAGCAAAGTTTTGAATGAGGAAAGTTGCTTTTAAGTTCGCTGATTACTAAATGGTACTTTATTTCCTGATCGGATACAAATTGGCAGAGCTATAGCCATCAGATGGAGCAAAAGTGCGAAAATTAGGAAAACCCACAATTTTGCAGGGGATCCCCTTGGAAAAAATCGAAAAATTAGAAAACGACATTTCAGCAATGTTTTGAATGAGGAAAGTCGCTTTCGAAAGCGACTGCGAAAATTAGGAAAACCCACAATTTTGCAGGGGATCCCCTTGGAAAAAATCGAAAAATTAGAAAACGACATTTCAGCAATGTTTTGAATGAGGAAAGTCGCTTTCGGGTTCGCTGATTACTAAATGGTACTTTATTTCCTGATCGGATACAAATTGGCAGAGATATGGCGATCAGAAGGAGCAAAAGTGCGAAAATTGGGAAAACCCACAATTTTGCAGGGGATCCCCTTGGAAAAAATCGAAAAATTAGAAAACGACTTTTCAGCAATGTTTTGAATGAGGAAAGTTGCTTTTAAGTTCGCTGATTACTAAATGGTACTTTATTTCCTGATCGGATACAAATTGGCAGAGATATGGCGATCAGAAGGAGCAAAAGTGCGAAAATTAGGAAAACCCACAATTTTGCAGGGGATCCCCTTGGAAAAAAATCGAAAAATTAGAAAACGACATTTCACCAATGTTTTGAATGAGGAAAGTCGCTTTCGGGTTCGCTGATTACTAAATGGTGCTTTATTTCTTGATCGGATACAAATTGGCAGAGATATGGCGATCAGATGGAGCAAAAGTGCGAAAATTAGGAAAACCCACAATTTTGCAGGGGATCCCCTTGGAAAAAAATCGAAAAATTAGAAAACGACTTTTCAGCAAAGTTTTGAATGAGGAAAGTAGCTTTCGGGTTCGCTGATTACTAAATGGTGCTTTATTTCTTGATCGGATACAAATTGGCAGAGATATGGCGATCAGAAGGAGCAAAAGTGCGAAAATTGGGAAAACACACAATTTTGCAGGAAATTTTGCCCTTGGAAAAAAATCGAAAAATTAGAAAACGACATTTCAGCAATGTTTTTTGAATGAGGAAAGTCGCTGATTACTAACTGGTACTTTATTTCTTGATCGGATACAAATTGGCAGAGATATGGCGATCAGAAGGCGCAAAAGTGCGAAAATTGGGAAAACACACAATTTTGCAGGAAATTTTGCCCTTGGAAAAAAATCGAAAAATTAGAAAACGACATTTCAGCAATGTTTTGAATGAGGAAAGTCGCTTTTGGGTTCGCTGATTACTAAATGGTACTTTATTTCCTGATCGGATACAAATTGGCAGAGATAAGGCGATCAGAAGGAGCAAAAGTACGAAAATTAGGAAAACCCGAAATTTTGCAGGGGATCCCCTTGGAAAAAAATCGAAAAATTAGAAAACGACTTTTCAGCAAAGTTTTGAATGAGGAAAGTTGCTTTTAAGTTCGCTGATTACTACATGGTACTTTATTTCCTGATCGGATACAAATTGGCAGAGCTATAGCCATCAGATGGAGCAAAAGTGCGAAAATTGGGAAAACCCACAATTTTGCAGGGGATCCCCTTGGAAAAAAATCGAAAAATTAGAAAACGATATTTCAGCAATGTTTTGAATGAGGAAAGTCGCTTTTGCAATGTTTTGAATGAGGAAAGTCGCTTTTGGGTTCGCTGATTACTAAATGGTACTTTATTTCCTGATCGGATACAAATTGGCAGAGCTATAGCCATCAGATGGAGCAAAAGTGCGAAAATTGGGAAAACCCACAATTTTGCAGGGGATCCCCTTGGAAAAAAATCGAAAAATTAGAAAACGACATTTCAGCAATGTTTTGAATGAGGAAAGTCGCTTTTGGGTTCGCTGATTACTAAATGGTACTTTATTTCCTGATCGGATACAAATTGGCAGAGATAAGGCGATCAGAAGGAGCAAAAGTACGAAAATTAGGAAAACCCACAATTTTGCAGGGGATCCCCTTGGAAAAAAATCGAAAAATTAGAAAACGACATTTCAGCAATGTTTTGAATGAGGAAAGTCGCTTTTGGGTTCGCTGATTACTAAATGGTACTTTATTTCCTGATCGGATACAAATTGGCAGAGCTATAGCCATCAGATGGAGCAAAAGTGCGAAAATTGGGAAAACCCACAATTTTGCAGGGGATCCCCTTGGAAAAAATCGAAAAATTAGAAAACGACATTTCAGCAATGTTTTGAATGAGGAAAGTCGCTTTTGCAATGTTTTGAATGAGGAAAGTCGCTTTTGGGTTCGCTGATTACTAAATGGTACTTTAATTCCCGATCAGATGCAAATTGGCAGAGATATGGCGATCAGAAGGAGCAAAAGTGCGAAAATTGGGAAAACCCACAATTTTGCAGGGGATCCCCTTGGAAAAAATCGAAAAATTAGAGCATTTTATATGTACGGACCATGATACAAATATAATATATAATATAAGATATACAATTATAATATATAAATAAGATATACAACTCTATAATTGTTTCATGGTTTTAAGACAGTAATCAGATTTAATAAAATTTTTTGAAAAAAAAAAATAAAAAAATAATAAAAGAAAACCTAACCTCTTATCCTTTATCCTTTTAGCCTTTTTGACGCCAAAGTACCGTCGTCGCAACGCTCTGGGCTCCACATATCGGACATCCACAACCTGGAGGGCTCCGAGCTGAAGAACGCCGCTGCTGCCGCCCATCATGGCAGCGATCTGAGCCACCACCACCACCACCATAATTGTATCATGGTACGGACTATATTGGTATTCATTAATTTTGCGAAATTCATTTTGGCTTTATTTCTAATCAGTATAAAAATAAACATCATTACAAACATAATTAATATATTTATAATTTGTTTTTTATTGAAAAACAAATTGGCAACCCATAGGCCTTTAATTTCGTGTGTCAAAATAGGCCAATATGGGTAAAATAAATAAAGTAAGTAAAATAAAAAAAAGTAAAAGTAAAATAACTTAGAAAACCAAAAAAATCAGTTAATTCGGAAACCATCGTTCTATCTTCCAACAAACCATTGGCCTTTAATTTCGTTTGTCAAAATAAACCATTTTGGGAACAAAAAATAAAGTAAAATAAAAAAAAAGTAAAAGTAAAATAACTAAGAAAACAAAAAAAAATCAGTAAATTAGGAAACCATCGTTCTATCTTCCAACAAACCATTGGAATCATTCTGCTGTCAACAAGTGCCAAGTACAAACTTGGTTAACAAAAATAAAATTATTTATTTCTAATCAGCATAAAATCATAATCAGCATAATCAATCAGCAAACCATTGGCATTCAATTTTGTTTGTCAAAATTATGGCCCATTGTAGGTAAAATAATTAAAACCAAATAAAAAATAAAAACTAAGAAATCCAAATGAGGATAAGTCAGAAGACGAGGACCAAAACCAACTGCATTGCAAAAAAAAAAAAAATAAAAATAAAAAAGCAAAGAACAATAAATATCTCAAAGGCCATCGATATTTATGACTACTTTCCAAGAACCCAGGCCAAATTTGGGAAAAAATAAAAAAAAATAAAATAAAATAAAGACTTGTCATTCGCAAAGCAGAAGCCCGAATGCAGTTGATATGGAAACGGATTCCCTTTATATAGCCCAATTCCAGTGCTGCAAAATGTTGAAAACTGAAATGGATTTCCGGCGGCAACTAAAAATAAGTGTTGATCAACGTAAACCAGCTGTAGTTGTGGAAATGGTATGGTATTTCGACTACCCTCTTCCTGATCGGATACAAATTGGCAGAGCTATGGCCATCAGAAGGAGTAAAAGTGCAAAAATTAAAAAAAACCCACAATTTTGTAGGGAATTCGCCTTGGAAATAAATCGAAATGTGATGTGACACACTGTGTACAGGCCTTGGAAGTGAACTGCGGCCTACAAGGATATGAAAAATCTTCGCAGAATCGTCTTCCGCCGGATCAGATCTTCAAGTGGACCTCGTCGACCGTGCCGGGACTAATCATGCCAAGGATACGTCAGGACAGCAACTCCGCATTCCACCGCAGATGCCCTTCGCAGCCGGATGTTCTTCTGACCAGCCTGTCGGATTCTACGAAGTTTTTAGTATGTATCTTAAGGTCTTTGTATATATTATTTATTATATCTTTTATTTTAGTTATATGTAGTTATAGGTTGTTAATCTTAAATAGCCTTAATCGCCTAAATAAAAATGATTTACAAAATATATCCTGCGTCTTACTGGAGGGGTGGGTGATTTATTGACAGGTACAACGTGGTCTTAACGTGGATCAGGAAATAGGTTTCCGTTCTGTAATCATAAACCCAATTACCGAGTTTCCACACTCATATCTTGGTCTCAGTACCCTTTTAAAATTTTTTGACCAGTATAATCAAAAAGTAATCCGTATAGCCATGATATAGAATTCTACTCATAATTGTATCATTCCTTTCACAAAGTTTTGCTGTCATTGTCATTTAGTTTCGGAAAAATACAGATTATTAAAATAATATTAAGTTCAGCTAAATTATTGATATAAAAACGGTCATGGTTGGAGAAGAAGATGTGCTTTTCCAGCTTGACCTGGAGCTACTCCTGGACGATGAACCAAAGATCAGCAGCCCGCACAAAGCAAGATTTCAGATGCACCGATGGCTCAAGTTTATGCCCCACATACGGTTCCAGAACACCGAATTTCCGAGGAAGGATAGTCTTAAAAACCAGGTTTCGGCAGTTTTAATGAACAACTCAGCTGCTGATGTGTCAGTTATGGTTGGCGGTAGGAGGTACAAGAGCTATCTGATGGCTTTGAAATCGTATTGCCGTCTGTTCCACGGCGAGGAGTACCAGACCGGAGATACTTTGATGCTGTGTGACGGGTCGATAACACCCGAATCCTTCGAGATCGCCTATTCGTGGATGACCCAGCACCAGGTATACTTCTATGGCGAGCAGATTCTGGATCTCTTGGTGGCCGCAAAGGCTCTTATTTGCCCGGAACTGACTCGCGCCATCTACGATTGCCTGAACAACCATAACAACTTTTCCGAGCTGGAGGCTTTCGATTGTTACGGACGGGCCATGGAAAAAGGAATGACTGAGGTAGCCATGCTGATGCTAGGTCGGGTCGGCAAGTGCTTTCTGGTCCTGGTGGGCACATCCCAATTCAGCCAGCTGAGTGTGGAGCACTGCAGCATCGTGCTTGGCTCAAGCCATCTTGCTGTACAATCGGAAATAGAGGTGAGAATGGGGATTCAGTAACCCATAGGTATCCCATATCCTATAACCTTTTCTTTTTTGTCAGACTCTCTATGCAGCTCTGGGATGGATATACAAAGATTATGAGGGACGCAAGAAGGATATCGGTCTTGTTCTAGACAGCGTTAAGTTTAGTTGGCTGCCGCCCCTATTTCTACTTTGTTTGGCGGATTACCTGCCGGACTTGCAGCCGGAAGTGGCGGATCAACTGTGCGGCTTCATCGATGCCGGGATGGCTATGCAACAGTGCGAAGCCCTCACTCCGTTCATGCGGCACGGGGAGAGCGAGGGAAGTCGTAACTGGATCGTGGACCCAAAGTGTCCCTACAAACACCATTTGCATCATGGCTTTCCCGATAAAGTAAGCATGGAAGCATTCATCGATTATATAAAATCGATTCAGGCCAATCCCAACAAGTTCCGTGCCCGCTTGGAGGACGGCCCCAAGCCATCGTGGCGTAGTTCTGAGCCATCGCAGGAAAGCATCGATGTAGGAACGGAAAGCCAGGATATGACATCTGTCCGACATAAGGTTGAAGAAAAGCTATCTGCAATTCTAAAGAAATCTTGGGAGGACCAATCCGAACCGAAACTATCAAACACCAGTCTTTCTCAGTTCATGCCGACAGAGTTCTCGTCATTGGAGGAATTGGAGTACCGCTCCTGGTCGAAAATCGTTAAAAAACGGGAAGAGGATAATCTTTATGGGTATAATCGTCCCGAACGATTCAAGGCGATGCCTTCCCGAAAACGGCCCAGATCTTAGGAGTACGTCTATGCGTTTTTTTGGACGTACTTCCCAATGCCAACAAAAAAATTGTTAATTTTATTAAATCTGTTCTATGCTCGAGTAGCTTGTTCCGTCTTTTCTTTATTCGAGTTGAGATTTCAAAAGTGGGAAAATTGGAAAAAATCTAGAAAAATGGTGAAATGATATTCAAGCCATATTTTGAACGAGGAGTAGGAGTTATTGAAGCACTGAGAACAGAATGGTACATTTTTACCTGATCGGATATAAACTACACATATAGACCGTAGGGATTTGTAATCAATAGATGGTGAAACTTAAGAACTACCATCCTTAAACTTCCCATTTCCATTTCCCAATCCCAATGTGTCTTTAAAATGTCTTTTTCCAATTTTTCGATTTTTTTCCAAGGGGATCCCCTGCAAAATTGTGGGTTTTCCTAATTTTCGCACTTTTGCTCCATCTGATGGCCATAGCTCTGCCAATTTGTATCCGATCAGGAAATAAAGTACCATTTAGTAATCAGCGAACCCGAAAGCGACTTTCCTTATTCAAAACATTGCTGAAAAGTCGTTTTCTAATTTTTCGATTTTTTTCCAAGGGGATCCCCTGCAAAATTGTGGGTTTTCCTAATTTTCGCACTTTTGCTCTTTCTGATGGTTATATCTCTGCCAATTTGTATCCGATCAGGAAATAAAGTACCATTTAGTAATCAGCGAACCCGAAAGCGACTTTCCTTATTCAAAACATTGCTGAAAAGTCGTTTTCTAATTTTTCGATTTTTTTCCAAGGGGATCCCCTGCAAAATTGTGGGTTTTCCTAATTTTCGCACTTTTGCTCCTTCTGATGGCTATATCTCTGCCAATTTGTATCCGATCAGGAAATAAAGTACCATTTAGTAATCAGCGAACTTAAAAGCAACTTTCCTCATTCAAAACATTGCTGAAAAGTCGTTTTCTAATTTTTCGATTTTTTTCCAAGGGGATCCCCTGCAAAATTGTGGGTTTTCCTAATTTTCGCACTTTTGCTCCTTCTGATGGCCATAGCTCTGCCAATTTGTATCCGATCATGGAATAAAGTACCATTTAGTAATCAGCGAACTTAAAAGCAACTTTCCTCATTCAAAACATTGCTGAAAAGTCGTTTTCTAATTTTTCGATTTTTTTCCAAGGGGATCCCCTGCAAAATTGTGGGTTTTCCTAATTTTCGCACTTTTGCTCTTTCTGATGGCTATATCTCTGCCAATTTGTATCCGATCAGGAAATAAAGTACCATTTAGTAATCAGCGAACCCGAAAGCGACTTTCCTTATTCAAAACATTGCTGAAAAGTCGTTTTCTAATTTTTCGATTTTTTTCCAAGGGGATCCCCTGCAAAATTGTGGGTTTTCCTAATTTTCGCACTTTTGCTCCATCTGATGGCCATAGCTCTGCCAATTTGTATCCGATCAGGAAATAAAGTACCATTTAGTAATCAGCGAACCCGAAAGCGACTTTCCTTATTCAAAACATTGCTGAAAAGTCGTTTTCTAATTTTTCGATTTTTTTCCAAGGGGATCCCCTGCAAAATTGTGGGTTTTCCTAATTTTCGCACTTTTGCTCTTTCTGATGGCTATATCTCTGCCAATTTGTATCCGATCAGGAAATAAAGTACCATTTAGTAATCAGCGAACCCGAAAGCGACTTTCCTTATTCAAAACATTGCTGAAAAGTCGTTTTCTAATTTTTCGATTTTTTTCCAAGGGGATCCCCTGCAAAATTGTGGGTTTTCCTAATTTTCGCACTTTTGCTCCTTCTGATGGCCATAGCTCTGCCAATTTGTATCCGATCATGGAATAAAGTACCATTTAGTAATCAGCGAACTTAAAAGCAACTTTCCTCATTCAAAACATTGCTGAAAAGTCGTTTTCTAATTTTTCGATTTTTTTCCAAGGGGATCCCCTGCAAAATTGTGGGTTTTCCTAATTTTCGCACTTTTGCTCCTTCTGATGGCTATATCTCTGCCAATTTGTATCCGATCAGGAAATAAAGTACCATTTAGTAATCAGCGAACTTAAAAGCAACTTTCCTCATTCAAAACATTGCTGAAAAGTCGTTTTCTAATTTTTCGATTTTTTCCAAGGGGATCCCCTGCAAAATTGTGGATTTTCCTAATTTTCGCACTTTTGCTCCTTCTGATGGCCATAGCTCTGCCAATTTGTATCCGATCAGGGAATAAAGTACCATTTAGTAATCAGCGAACCCAAACGCGACTTTCCCCATTCAAAACATTGCTGAAAAGTCGTTTTCTAATTTTTCGATTTTTTTCCAAGGGGATCCCCTGCAAAATTGTGGGTTTTCCTAATTTTCGCACTTTTGCTCCATCTGATGGCTATAGCTCTTCCAATTTGTATCCGATCAGGAAATAAAGTACCATTTAGTAATCAGCGAACTTAAAAGCAACTTTCCTCATTCAAAACATTGCTGAAAAGTCGTTTTCTAATTTTTCGATTTTTTTCCAAGGGGATCCCCTGCAAAATTGTGGGTTTTCCTAATTTTCGCACTTTTGCTCCTTCTGATGGCCATAGCTCTGCCAATTTGTATCCGATCAGGGAATAAAGTACCATTTAATAATCAGCGAACCCAAACGCGACTTTCCCCATTCAAAACATTGCTGAAAAGTCGTTTTCTAATTTTTCGATTTTTTTCCAAGGGGATCCCCTGCAAAATTGTGGGTTTTCCTAATTTTCGCACTTTTGCTCCATCTGATGGCTATAGCTCTTCCAATTTGTATCCGATCAGGGAATAAAGTACCATTTAGTAATCAGCGAACTTAAAAGCAACTTTCCTCATTCAAAACATTGCTGAAAAGTCGTTTTCTAATTTTTCGATTTTTTTCCAAGGGGATCCCCTGCAAAATTGTGGGTTTTCCTAATTTTCGCACTTTTGCTCCTTCTGATGGCCATAGCTCTGCCAATTTGTATCCGATCAGGGAATAAAGTACCATTTAGTAATCAGCGAACTTAAAAGCAACTTTCCTCATTCAAAACATTGCTGAAAAGTCGTTTTCTAATTTTTCGATTTTTTTCCAAGGGGATCCCCTGCAAAATTGTGGGTTTTCCTAATTTTCGCACTTTTGCTCCTTCTGATGGCTATATCTCTGCCAATTTGTATCCGATCAGGGAATAAAGTACCATTTAGTAATCAGCGAACTTAAAAGCAACTTTCCTCATTCAAAACATTGCTGAAATGTCGTTTTCTAATTTTTCGATTTTTTTCCAAGGGGATCCCCTGCAAAATTGTGGGTTTTCCTAATTTTCGCACTTTTGCTCCTTCTGATGGCCATAGCTCTGCCAATTTGTATCCGATCAGGGAATAAAGTACCATTTAGTAATCAGCGAACTTAAAAGCAACTTTCCTCATTCAAAACATTGCTGAAAAGTCGTTTTCTAATTTTTCGATTTTTTTCCAAGGGGATCCCCTGCAAAATTGTGGGTTTTCCTAATTTTCGCACTTTTGCTCCTTCTGATAGCTATATCTCTGCCAATTTGTATCCGATCAGGAAATTAAGTACCATTTAGTAATCAGCGAACTTAAAAGCAACTTTCCTCATTCAAAACATTGCTGAAATGTCGTTTTCTAATTTTTCGATTTTTTTCCAAGGGGATCCCCTGCAAAATTGTGGGTTTTCCTAATTTTCGCACTTTTGCTCCTTCTGATGGCCATAGCTCTGCCAATTTGTATCCGATCAGGAAATAAAGTACCATTTAGTAATCAGCGAACTTAAAAGCAACTTTCCTCATTCAAAACATTGCTGAAAAGTCGTTTTCTAATTTTTCGATTTTTTCCAAGGGGATCCCCTGCAAAATTGTGGGTTTTCCTAATTTTCGCACTTTTGCTCCTTCTGATGGCCATAGCTCTGCCAATTTGTATCCGATCAGGGAATAAAGTACCATTTAGTAATCAGCGAACTTAAAAGCAACTTTCCTCATTCAAAACATTGCTGAAATGTCGTTTTCTAATTTTTCGATTTTTTTCCAAGGGGATCCCCTGCAAAATTGTGGGTTTTCCTAATTTTCGCACTTTTGCTCCTTCTGATAGCTATATCTCTGCCAATTTGTATCCGATCAGGAAATTAAGTACCATTTAGTAATCAGCGAACTTAAAAGCAACTTTCCTCATTCAAAACATTGCTGAAATGTCGTTTTCTAATTTTTCGATTTTTTTCCAAGGGGATCCCCTGCAAAATTGTGGGTTTTCCTAATTTTCGCACTTTTGCTCCTTCTGATGGCCATAGCTCTGCCAATTTGTATCCGATCAGGAAATAAAGTACCATTTAGTAATCAGCGAACTTAAAAGCAACTTTCCTCATTCAAAACATTGCTGAAAAGTCGTTTTCTAATTTTTCGATTTTTTTCCAAGGGGATCCCCTGCAAAATTGTGGGTTTTCCTAATTTTCGCACTTTTGCTCCTTCTGATGGCCATAGCTCTGCCAATTTGTATCCGATCAGGGAATAAAGTACCATTTAGTAATCAGCGAACTTAAAAGCAACTTTCCTCATTCAAAACATTGCTGAAAAGTCGTTTTCTAATTTTTCGATTTTTTTCCAAGGGGATCCCCTGCAAAATTGTGGGTTTTCCTAATTTTCGCACTTTTGCTCCTTCTGATGGCCATAGCTCTGCCAATTTGTATCCGATCAGGGAATAAAGTACCATTTAGTAATCAGCGAACTTAAAAGCAACTTTCCTCATTCAAAACATTGCTGAAAAGTCGTTTTCTAATTTTTCGATTTTTTTCCAAGGGGATCCCCTGCAAAATTGTGGGTTTTCCTAATTTTCGCACTTTTGCTCCTTCTGATAGCTATATCTCTGCCAATTTGTATCCGATCAGGAAATTAAGTACCATTTAGTAATCAGCGAACTTAAAAGCAACTTTCCTCATTCAAAACATTGCTGAAATGTCGTTTTCTAATTTTTCGATTTTTTTCCAAGGGGATCCCCTGCAAAATTGTGGGTTTTCCTAATTTTCGCACTTTTGCTC